TTCTCATAAAGGGTTGCAGCCTGTGAGTGGCTATTCCAATAGGTTGGAAAGCCGTGCCCCTAGCCAGAAGCCAAGAACATGTGCTGTGTGGCAGGGGCAACAGGGACAGGAATTTATACTGAGCAGGTTTCCCAAATGTACCTATTTAACAAGCTATAGGAGGAGTCATGAATACTTATGAAAGAAGAAACATGTGCATTCACAATCGAGTTTTTTGACCTTTTACAGGGTCCATGTTCAGAAATAGCTGCCCTCTTATATCAAAAAGGTAAAGCCTTCTCTGCGCATGGTCCGTAGAATGGTTAAAACCACTTCATGGTTGGTGATCTCTTATCAGGAAAGAATGCTGGTCTGGATCTCAAAATTGGTTTCCATTTAGCCCTTAGGGAAAAATGCCTGAGAGCAGTTAGCAAGGAAGGGGATATAATGCAGCATGTCTGACCTCCCATCCCATTATGGCTGGGAACTCAGCTTTAAGGTTTCTGTGGGGTCCCCTTAACTGAGAGGGGGTCTGTTCAGTCAGCAGGGAGCTTAGGATTTTATTTGAGTTCACACTTTTTACCATCTCCTGTATTTTCCATGCTCATTTCCATCACCAAGCCTTTGGTTCTTGGGGTGTTTCCTATATCTTTCTTCTCAACCTACCCCAATTTTACTGGGCCTTTGAGGTTTCATAAAAATTCTACCACTTCTCTGAAGCTTTCTTTGCCAACTCTAGTCCCTGCTACTCTTTTCTACCTCTAAACATATACTATAACACTTAGCAACACATTGGTTTTCCCTTTGACTCCTCAGAAATGGTCAACAAGTTGGTGCAGCCTTCATTCCTAAGCTTCCTAATCAGAGTTAAAAGGGAGCTCATGTTGTCTTTCCTGCTCCTCTGTTGCCTCTTGGCATGAAGCCTCCCTTATCCCTAGGAGACCAGTTTTCTCTGCAGTTGCCCCCTGTCCCAACCTGTACCTATTGCTTCCCTCCCTGAGGATTTTGTGTTTCAAAGTTACCTCTATCTTACTTTTAACCTGCTCCACATCCAGCAAATTCATCTAATTTAATCAATCAGCACTAAGGTGAGATGCACTACTAGCCTTTCCTTAGTGCTCTTCCCTGAACATTCCTTAATCCTTAGAAATTTCTAAAAGTTGGATACTCAGTCCAGTGTGGAAGATAATGCTAGGCAGGGCCCAAATCTGCAGGTGGCAGATACAGGCCAGGATTGTTCCTAGGGGCAGAGAAGCCCGAGACCGGTCAGAGGAAGTGACTGCAGGAAAACAAAAAACACCTGACAATCATGTATATCAATTATCTGGTAACATCCCACACCTCCTGTAAGCCCTCCCCCAGACCAGGCCACTAAAAGGAAACAATTTGGGCATCCTTAAGGTCTTCCTCCACTCCTAGAGATTGACCCGTTCCTCTCTCTGGAAGGTATTTTCGGCTTTATGTAGCTTCCTTCTTTACTGTAATAAAAGCCGTTTTTGTGGAATTGTTTCCCGTATGTGGTCACTCCATCGCATTGGCCTGCTTGTGATTATTCCAAACAAGGAGCCAAAGAACCAGGACAACAGACTGCAAAGAGGCAGACCTGACAATAGCTAGATCTTACCATTCCCCGCCCCCATAATAAAAGCCAGCCTTCAAAAGGGGAAGGATAAAGGGGAATATGAAGTCACCACCCCTTTACAATTGAAAGAGGAGCCTCTTACTGCTTTGTTTCCCCTCTCATCTACAAAGATCTACCCTCATTTCCTCCAAGAGCTTAAGTTCCAGTTGGCTAATCTCTCTGACCTCCATAAAGGGGAAACAGCAGTCACAATATACAGGAGGATCAGTGACTCTGGAGGATGAATCTTAAAGTCTTTAGGACACTTCAGGGCAGTTTCATGCTCCATCCGTTTCCTAATTCTTTCAGCATATTTTCGTTGAACACTTACTAGTAACTGAATATTGGAGATACAAAAGGAGACAAGAAATAATCCCTGAGATTAAGTAAAGAGTTTATGGTGGTGGTGGGATCAGGTAATAGTTAGAATAAAGTGGAATAAGTCTAAATTCAGAGGATGACAGGATTCTACTGGAACACAGAGAGAGAACACCTAACTCAGTCTTCAGGACATTAGATAAAGCTTCTTAGGGAAAGTGATACCTTGCTGAAACTGAAGGTCAATGAGGAGTTAGCGAGGGAAAAGTAGTTAGGGAAAAGATACGTGGAAATGCTCAGAAAAGAAATAAAATGTAATATCCTGGGAGTTGCAAATGTCGTTCAGT